TCCTTAGATAAATGAACATACATGACACAGCACTGGATGGAGAGAGAGAGAGAGAGAGAGAGGTGCAATCCACAACACACAAGAGCTTTTGGAAACTAAAAAAGATGAGAGCCAACATATAAAAAGGCAATAGTAGGGTCTGATGATAAAGGCAAGGAAAATTTACCAGAAAGTAAGACAAAAAAGGCAGACAAGAAAAGTAGAACGTCAAACCAAAATGCCTAACATTCATCTGAAACCAAGGAGAGAGAAAACAGAAGGGAGAAAATCATCAAAGACAAAAATGCAAACATCTTCCCAGAATAGATCCTCCATTTCCAGAAAAAAAGAACTCACTGAGTACCCGAAACAATACATGAAAATAGACTCACACTAAGACCCATTATCATAAACTAGAACACAAGGGACAAAGAGAAAATCCTAAAAGCTTCCAGAAAGGAAGATGCAGTTTGCATACAAAGGACCGATAAGCAGAATGACATCAGAATTCTCAACAATTCCACCTGAAACTCAAAGGCAATGAAGCAAAGCCCTCAAAATTCCAAGGGTAAATTATTTCCAACTTAAAATTTTATTTCCAACCAAACTATTGATCAGTTGTGCAGGTAGGAAAAAAAATTTTTTTTTCAGATATGCGGTTTATCAAGAATGTCACCTCCCATTACTCTTTCTAAGGAAGCCACCCAAACAAGGGAGCAGATCAAGAAAGAAGACACAGGAGTACTTTGATAAAACTAGTTAAGGAGTGGCCGGTTAGCTCAGGTGGTTAGAGCGCAGGTTCATAACACCAAGGTTGCTGGTTTGATTCCCACATGGGCCAGTTGCACCCTCAACAACTAGATTGAAAACAACAACTTGACTTGGAGCTGATGGGCCCTTGGAAGAACACACTATTCCCCAATAAAGATTTTGTAAAAAATTTTTAAAGCTTGTTTTCCCTGAGCTATCCGGTTTTCGTACCCCAGGATTTCCAACAACAAAATGATTAATTCTAAAGTGCATGTTTATTCACATTTTTAACATTTCTGTAACTGAGACTACATTGCCACTGATAGCCTCTTAGCTCACTAAAATATGGCAGCAGCTAACATTTGCAAGCTATTTTACAGCTAGCCACGGCATTTCACATGGTTTTTCTTTTTGGCATCCCAACAACTTCCTGAAGTGAGTTTTACCAACCCCATTATGGACACCAAGAAACTGAGGTTCCATGGGGTAGAATGAAGGCTTCCAAGTCAGAGCCTAGATTGTGTGAGTTGTGGGTGGAGGTGTTAGTGTTGATGAGTTCCTTTTCCGTATCACAAGCTTTAGAAACCTAAGCATCTTGTTTGGGTCTCCACAGCCCTCTGCTCATTTGACAGCTGAGGGAAATGAGGCTCAGAGAGGTTAAGTGACATACCCCACCTCACACAGCCAGTAAGCAGCAGAGCCTGGATCTGAACTCTCTCCACTGCCACAGCTGTTTGACTGACACTAGGGGCAGCAGCTGTGTTCCTATGGGAACCAAGCACAAGGTGAGGGAGCCCCACCCACCTCAGAGGGAGCCCTTCTGAGCCCAGGCCCCTCTGCTGGAACTCCAGCAGCACTCACTGCAGGAGCTTGTCCCGGGCCGGGTCTGACAGGTAGCGCTTGGCTCCATCCATGTACAGAGACCGATATCGTTGTCGTCGGTCCTTTGTCTCCATCAGTCAGGTGTTGAGGTAGCGTCCCACACCCACGGGGTTCTGCACGAGGGAGAGGGCATTAGCAAACTGGATTCTGGCCTAGAGACTTGCTCCCATCCCCCAGGCTCCTCCCTACTCTATCTGTTAGGGGTTGAATTGTGTCTCCCAAAATGAGATGTGGAAGTCCTAATGCCCAGTACCTCAGAATGTGACCTTATTTGGAGATGCTGTAGTTGCAACCGTAGTTAAAATGAAGTCATAGTGAAGTAGGGTGGGCCCTTAATCCAATGTGACTGGAGACACACAGGAAAGACAACCATAGGACACGGAGGCAGAGACTCGAGTGATGCATTTACAAGCTAAGGAATTCCAAGGATTGCCGGCCACCACAAGAAGCTAGAAAGAGGCCAGGGAGGAATCTTTCCCACAGGTTTCAGAGGGAGCACAGCCCTGCTGACGCCTGAATTTCAGACTTCCGGCCTCCAGAACTGTGAGAGGATAAATTCCTTTTGTTTTAAACCACCTAGCTTGTGGTATTTTATTATGGCAGCTCTAGGAAATTAATATACCACCACCCCCCACCCCACCCCAGAAAACTGGGTCATAGCTACCAGAGGTTCAGTGAGAAGATGCAACCTGCGTAGGGTGACTAGTGAGGGCAAAAGAATGGAAAACAGGAACACTGCCATCTGCAGAGAAGCAGTGCCAAGGGTGGGCTGGGAGATGTTAGGAGCCACACACTAGTCCTGTGTGAAGCTGAACTTGATGTCAACAAGGGAAAGGCCGGTCTCATGGGGGAGCAGGCTCCCAGCTAGGTGTGCAGGCAGAGATGCTTCCTGCCTGGGGAGCAGGGTGAGCTCAGCCTCTGGAACCCCAACCTCACATCTGCCCCTACCACTTTGGCCAGCACTGCGGTAGCAGCAAAGTCATTTGGCTCTTGTCTAAACATCTTATTTGGGGTGTTCTAGGGAAGACCCTTTTCCCTGCAGGAGATGCAGGCTGGAGGTGAGGAGAGGAAGGATGCAGGGGACCAACCTGCTTGGTCCTCATGCGAGTCAAACAGGGCACACTGGGGACCAAACTATCGCTCAGGGAGGTGAGGAGGTGGAATCAGAGGAGGGAGAGCTCAGATGTGGGGGCGCAGGATGGAGCAGTAGGAGCATAACAGGAAGGCAAATACATTACAGGCAAGATGTTCCCAGAGAAACCAGGAGAGACCTTAAAAATACACAGCTGTTCAAAACCTAGCAAAATTAACCTGTGTTACTGGAAGTGAAGACGGGGGAAGGTTACATCATACTCATGTGGGGAGGGCTGCCTCTGGGGAGGGGGTCGAGAGGGGACACAAAGGGTCCTCACTTAGCCAGGAATGCGAAAGGGGCCAGCTCTACCAGCTACCCCTGAGGCCCCAAGACAAATGCAGAGACAATGGAGGGGGTGGTCCCCTGAAAAATAAGAGCATGAGATGGCTCCGGGGTGATGTCCCTCAGCCCAGTGGTTCTCAAAGTGTGGTCCCTGAAATAGCAGCATCTACATCACCTGGGAACTTGTTAGAAATGCAAATTCTCAGCCCCCCCACCCCCGCCCCCGCAGGCTACCAAATCAGATGCTCTAGCACAGGGCCCAGCAATCTGTGTTTTAACTAGCCCCCCAAGGCAATGCTAACACCCACTCAAGTTGGAAACCAATGCCATAGAGAAATAAGCGGAAGTGGGTATTAGTCCCTGAGGGAGAAAAGAGGTGGAATAGGCTCCCTCTGAGCACCAGTTCCCAGGGGGCAAGGTGGGTTTGGGCCTGCCCATCATCACGTACCCCTCCTCCCACAACCACACACACACCCAGACTTACCCAGTTTCCCAGAAGCATCTGATAGGCCCTTAGGTCTACCCGCTTAGAGGACAGTAGGAAAGGTGGCTGGTTCGTGTGTCTGCGTTCCTTCTCTGAAGGAAGCCACATACTGGGACCAGACGTGGCCTGGGGTAAGGAATAAAGGCTGAAAGCTAGGGAGGTCTGGCAGTGGTCAGCCAGGGGCCAGGGGAGGTGAAGTCTCCTGGCAGCTGACCTCGCCAAATCAGCCGCCCTGGGCCTTGAGCCAAGGACAGTGGGAGGTACTCAGCCACCTCCCAACGCACCCTCCAGGAGTGAAGGGGCCTTATGGTGCCCTCAGGCCCCATGCCACCCATACTAACCCCCACCCACTAGCCTGACACCTCTGTCCAGGCTCCCAAGGGCCCTCGAGGCCTGGCAGGGTTCAGAGAGGTGCTCTAGGCACCAGTCAGGGGAATGGAAACCACTCAGATTTTGGAACTACGTGAGTTGAACTCCAATCTTGCCCTTGCTGGGGGAGCCCAGGCAAATCCCTTCCTATCTCTGGGCCTCAGTTTCCTTTTGTGAAATACAAATGGTAATTCCTCCATCAGGCGTACCTGGCCCCGAGCAGGCATTCAACAAATGTTGGTACCCTTTGTCCTTCTCCCAGACCCCACTCCTTCCCAAGCTCTTAGCGGCTCTCTCCCAGGGTTGGGGGGCAGACTCTGCTTGAGGGTCCCGGCTAAAGTCCAGGACCTACCCAGAGGATTGGCTGCTACCCTCCAGAAAGGAGCCCACCAGCCCCCCTGTTGGGGTAGAGACCTTATTTACACCCTGCCCTGCCCCAGGGTCCTCCCTTGTCCTCTCTCCAGGGGCAGGTGGAGATCAATGCTGGCCAGGCGCTTCTAGGTACCAGGCTCCGTGCTACGTATGGGCTCTAGTACTTAACTTCATTTAATTCTCACCTGGATATGCTCCTAGGACAAGTGTGCAAACCAAGGTTCAGAGGATGAGCGAGACTCACCCAGTGTGACTGGTACGTACAAGACCAGGAGTGGGCACTAGGTGGGTCTGACACCTGAGGCTGAGCTCCCCTGAAATAGCCACCCGCACCCCAGCCAGGGCACTCAGGAGAGCCACTGCTAAGAGAGGAAGGAAGGCAGGCCCTGGGAGGACACTGACCAGTTCTCGGGGATACTGGCTGAGGGTGGCCCAGTAAATCCTCTCTGTAGGGGTTTTCGGGTTGCGGGGAAGTGTCGAAAACACCCCACGCTTCTTATTGTGACGTGAGTTAAGTTCTTCCACGAAGCTCCTAAAATTCATCAGTTCCCTGGGCTTTTTTTTCTGAGAAACACAGAAGGAGACAAACGTATCTGTTATGCCAGGAAAATCGAGGGCCCCCTTTCTGAACCCTCAGCGGCAATCAGAGAAAAGCAGGTGGCCACAAAATGAGGCATCACTCCCCACACTGCTTGAGGACCTCCCAGGCCAGCCCAGGGGCGGGGTTAGTCTGACAGTCTCTAGCACCCTATGAGCCACACCGTCCAACACAGCTTAAGTTTATCCATTCCTTTTTTCTTTCACTCATTTCATGAACATTTACTAAGTCAGACACTATTCTAAGCAAGAGCGAAAGTCCAAATATTTAAAACCCAATGTGATGGGGGAACACAGAGGACATTTAGGGCAGTGAGACTACTCTGTATGATACTATGGTGGTAGGTACATGTCCCTCTACATTTGTTCAAACCCACAGAATGTACACCACCAAGAGGGAACCCTCATGTATCATGGGGTGACATGTCCATGTAGGTTTATCGGTTGTGACAAATGTACCACTCTGGGGCAGCATGCTGATGGTGGAGGAGGCTGTGTGTGTAAGAGGGACAGAAGGTACTGGAAACTTGGTACTTTCGGATCAGTTTTGCTGTAAACCTAAAACTTCTCTAAAAAATAAGTCTATTACTTTTTTAGATGATAAAAAAATCTTATTATGTGGCCTGGGCACTGGCCAATCAGAATGGGCGTTGGCTATAGGGCCAGAGGAGGGTCTCAAGACCCCTGCTGTGCTGGGCAGGACCACCTTAGCAGCTGGTCATGGAAAGAGCTCTGGGAGGCCCAGGGGAGCTGGCACCGGGAGGGGGCGGGGGCTCAGTTCAATGGCTATTTGCCAACTGGTCCAAAAGTATCAGCATTTCCCCAGCCCACCCGCTTCCTAGCGCTCCTGCTGCCCCGTACCGTAGCACTCCCCACCTGCTGACACTCTCTATTGCTTTTCACTCATGACTGTGTCTCTTTGTCCATTAAAATGCAAACAGCATATGAGCAGTTTTCCCCTGCACCTAGACTATTACCTGGCCTAAACATACTCACTGAGTGAATGCATAGTGGAGACATCATAAACAGGTAATTACACAAATATGTAAGCCTAGTTGTTATAAGCACAAAGAAAGCAAAGCACAGAATGCTGTGGATCACACAACAGGAACTTGATAGGTGCAGGAAAGGGTAGGGAGTGTCAAGCTAAAATTCTACATCAGTGTCCCCTCCTGGCCTTCCAATTCTCTGCCTTGTTAACAGCATGCCACTAACCCAGCCAGCTTAGCTAGGTCTGTGATGCCCAGAAGTGTGTCCAAAGTAGCAGGACACCCAGACCTGAGCTGTCAAGTTCCCTGAAGGCTTTGTGGCCAGCCTCCCATCCAGTCCTGGCATTGTGGCCATCTGCACTTCCTCTGCAGTTCTTTCCAGGGCAGAGGAGAGAGAACTGGTAGCGAAGTCAGACAGACATTGCTAGGCATTCAAATCCCAGCTCCATGCCTCACCAGCAGTGTGGTCAGCCTCAGTTTCCTCACCTAACACAATGGAGACATATCCTACCCTTGCTGTGAGGGCAAAGTGATCAGAGTGTGTGAAGGGCCCTGGGCTGCACCTGGCACGTTCCAGAGTGATGTTCCCGGTGGTGGTGAGGCCTGTCATCCTGCTGGCGAATGCACACCCCCCCACACCTCACCTGGGTACACACCTGCACAGAGTAATGTCCATAGCACTGGGGCTTGCTTCGGTCACCAGAGAAAGTGTCATAGAAGCCGCGGGTGCCCATGGATTTTTCCAGGCATGCCTCTATGCTACTTTTCAAGGAGTAGGCGCATGGTGCCAGGCCGCTCCCCTAGGACAGAACACAGAGGCCAGTCCCTGCAGGAGGGCTGCTGAAGCAAGCCCGTTAGCCCACGGGGTCTCGGTTTCCCCACCTGCTTTGGGAGTCTGCCCCCAGGAATGTGCAGGAAGGCAGCCAGGCCTGGCCAGGTGAGGGGGATACCTGATGAGCCAAGGGAGGTGGCTTGTTGGTCATTCTGTGCATGAGGCCCTCGGAATGGGAGCGGTTCCAGGCGTTCTCTTCCAGCTTCGTGTATGGGTTGCCCTTCTCCCCATAATTTCCAGGACCTGGATAGTAGTTCTGTATGGGGCAGGAGGGACATGAAAGCCATTAATTAGTCCCACTCCCCGTGCTGAGTGCACCTGAGCGCACTTGAGAGGCAAACGGGATTTTCAGGACCCCTGCATGTCAACGGCCCCCCCCCCTGACACGCAGCACTGTTTGGCCCATGAGCCTCAAGTCACTGTTCAAACCTTCAGTTCCAAGGTCAGACGCTTCTCCGGGGCACTGGCTTGTCCAATTTCTCTCTTACTGCTCCCTTCCTACGTCCCCACTTCAGCCAGAGTGTGTGGGTCCCCAAACACATTCCATTCTGCCAACCTCCTTGCCTTTGCTTCCTCGTGCTGTTACGGCCACCCGAAATGCCATTCCTGCTTTCTTTGTCTCAGAAAATTCTTCTAATCCTGCGAAGCCAGCTCAAATGCTCTCTTTCCTGGGAATGAAACCTTTCTTCCCCTATTGCCCCAGACAGTTGCTTGCTTTGGTGGTCTCAGAAATTCCACCCATTCCACCCGTGTCATCGCCCTGCATTTGCATGAATCAGTTTCTCACTGTGCTGTAAAGCTGGTCTCCTGGGTTCGAATCCTGACTCTGTGGCTTCCCAGCTGAGTGATCTTGGGCACACAGCTTATTCCTTCTCAGCCTCATGGTCCACATTTGCAACATGGGGATAGTAATACTTTCTTTCAGGGTAATGAGGATAAAACTAAATAATGTCTATAACGCTCCTGCATAGCACCCAGCCCATAGTGGGCACCCACACATGATAAGTTAGGGTGAGGTGGCTTTCTTGGGGGTGGCTGGGAGAAGGAGGTAGGAGAGGCTGAGAAATACGGCTGGAAAGCTGGAATGACCAACCAGGACCTTGACTGCCAAAGTTGGAAACATGTTCTTTGTAGGTGGATTGAGGAAAGCCACTCTGCTGCGCAGGACCCAGCGGCAGGATGTACCGCTGCTGCTCTGCATCTTTTAGCCACGAGGGGTCGCTGCCGCTCCACGATGGCTAAGCCCTGCCCATCTCTGGCCCTAGCAACCCACCCTGGGGAAGCGGCCAGGACCTTGGCTGGGCGGAGAAGGCAGGGAACTTGGAGAGTCAGGCTGCTTCGGCATTGGACTCGTTTGCCCTCAGAGGAACACGACTACACGTGGCTCCCTTCCAGGAACCAGGTTCTCCAGTGTGTTCAGGAGGGAAGCCCTAACGTAGGAAGCTGGGTCCCTGCGTCATGTGTTAGGTGCTTCACAAGCCTAACATTTTGTCCTGGAGGCGCCATCCGCAATTAACAGATGGGGAAACTGAGTCTCAGAGAGGCAAATCTTGCGTCCAAGGTCGTGTCCTCCCTCCGCCCCAGAAAGGGCCACCTCGAGGGCTCCAACTCTGAAACCCAGGATCTTTCTGAGCCTCTACTGTTTACTAGGCACCATGTGGGCACTGGGGTGGGAGGAAAATGAGCACGGCAATGTCCCTGGGGAACTTAGACGTGCGGGTTATAACAAGAGGTGGGAGGAGCCGCTGCTCCTGGAGCCCAGTGCTGGGGTGCTCCGTGGGCAGAGCCCTTCCTTCAAGCCTTCAAGTTCAGAGGTATAGTAACACACTTGGGCAGATGTGAGAGCTCATGATTTTAACTAGAATGGTATGTTGCTAGAGCTTTTGAAACCCAGGCAAGAGGGGTGATTAATTCTTGGGGGCGGGGGGAGAAACAGAAGGACTGGCACTTACAAGATTTTTTTTTAGCTGGACTTTGAAGAATGAGAAGATTCCCAGGAGATGGGTGTGGGGAAAGGGGCAGGTTCCCCAGGCAAAGGGGCAAAGGCAGGGGGGCTGGAACAACACCTTTGAGGCAAGTTGGGAGAGGTGGGAAGGGCCCTGGAGGCCCCGCCGAGGCTCCTCGAGACATGATTCTGAGACATGAGGGTCTTAGGAAGATGCTGGCCATGGCAAGAGTCCAGGGAATCCATTGAGAGGCCTCCCCGGGGTGGGGGTGGGGGTGGGGGTGGGGCAGTGGCTTGGGCCAGGGTGGAGGCAGTAGGCATGGAAAAAGGAGGAGAAGAGTGAGAGGAGGACAGGAGGTCAGAGCATAGACCCTGGGACTTCGGGACACAAGGGGTGCTGGGTTTCTGGCTCTGGCAGCTGGGTTGTACCAGTCCCTGGAAGAGCAGGCCTGGGGGAGATATTGACGTGGGGCGGGGTGCAGAGTTTGAGCTGCCTGAGGGACCCCGGGTGGGGATCTGGAGCCATCGGCATGGAGCCGGGCTGAGAATGAGAGATCACCCCAAAGAGGGTAGGGGTGAGGGGGCTGGGGAAGAGGAGCAGTGGAGGGGGGCTGGCTGAGGAACTCCAGGACTGCAGCGCCTAGTGTCCCCAAAACCAAGAAAAGGGAGAGTACACTGGGGGAGGGGTGGTGGCAGCGCCAAGTGCCTATGGGGAATGGGGTTCAGAAACCAGAGGAGAAAGCATTGCCTTTGCAGGGGTATGGTTCGACAGTCCCCTCCTCTCGGGGGAAGGAGTCACGGGGCCCCAAAGCAGGCACCTGCAGTTCTGACAGGTGGTGTTTGTAGATCTGCAGTGGTGGGGGCACAACTGGAGGGACCAGAGACCAGAGGAGGCCATCAGGTTCCCAGCTCAGGTCTCATAGCAAGATTGAAAAAATCAGGACTTGGATGGGCAGTGCCTTCACCCACTGGGACAGTGTCACCTCCATGAACTTACTGTCCAGAGCTGAGCGCAATTTCTCTGAGCTCAGAGAGATTCTACAGGACCTAGCCAAGGTTACTGCAGGAGCAGATATGGAGACCAAGGGGGAGAAAAGATAGCTGGAAAGGAGGGACGGGCCATGGCACTGTCACCTTGCTCAGCCAACACTCACTCATGCCTCGGAGCTGGGGGCTGGGAACACAGGAAGGAGACACACAGCATCGCATTTGTTCCCCAACTTCTCTGCCATCCGCTGGGCTGGGCTCTGCCACTAGACCCTGTCCTCCACAGTTAGTCAAGGAACAAAACCCAAGTGAGCCAAGCCTATGGGCACAGTGCACTGGTTACGTGTGGACATCTGGATTGAAATCTTGCTGCTGTCACTTAGTAGTTTTGTGACCTTGGGCGGTTACTGAAACCCTATGTACTCCAGTTTCCTCGCCTGGACAGTGGAGATAATAATAGTGCCTACTTCATAGGGTTGTTGTGAGGATTAAATTAATTAGTCCACTCAAGCACTTAGAACAGTGGTAAGTGCTGGCACGTGGTAAGTGCTATGTTAAGTGTCAGCTATTACTACTTCAGATTGGGAGGTAATGACTCATTTTTAAAGGCCTCCAGGCATCCCCGCTCCCTAAGTTGTAGTTAGAGTGTCTACCTGAGGATGCAGGTGCTCATCCCCCGAACGTGGCAAGGAGTAATTTCCAGGTCTCAGAGAAGGCTTCATAGTGGTGAGGTGTGGGGGAAAGGCCCTGGATATGGGATTAGACATCTCTCTCTCATGGTGGTGAAGCCTGGGGCAAGTTGCTTACTCTCTCTGAGCCTCCAGGGCCTTGTCAGGAGTGATTGTAAGAAGTGAGAATGTTTTGGAGCTGGGTTGTACCATGTTTTGGAGCTGGGTTGTACCACTTAGTCCACAGACACTTCGTGTGTGCCCACTATGTGCCAGGCACTACTAGGACCTAGGAATTCTGCAGTGAACGAACTAGGCAGATGCGGTTCACCTTCAGGGACTGGTGTCCAGTCGGGGAGAGACACTAAACACATGATCATAATAGGGACTCCTAGGAAAGGGAGATGTCACCTAATGGGGGTCAGTTCAGACCTTGGAGCTGAGAGCTAAGGGATCAGTAGGATTTCCTTAGGCGGAGGACCACTTAGAAAGCAAGAGAACATTTCTGGCAGTGGGAACAGTAGGAGCAAAGCCCTAGTTGAAAGAGCATGGTGCATTCGGGGAGCTGGGAGGACAAGAGTACCCAGCAGAGAGATCCTGAGGGCCAGAGGAGGTGAGGCACTCAGCAAACTGCGACACTCACTCGGTGTGATATGACTCCTGCCTTCTCTTTTATGACCTTACTGAGCTTGAACCCCACTCAGTGTCGTCCCCCCCACACACACACACACATGGAATGATCACCCCAACCCACACGGATGCCACTGCAGCCCTCCTGCCACTCACTCCCACCTCTCACAGCCATCACCTCCCATCTGGACGCCTGCTGCAGCCTCCAGCCCTCACCCCCACAAGCAGGGTGTGCCTCTGAAAAGATGAATCAGGCCCTTGCCATCAAAAGCCTCCCCTGTCCTCCCACAGACCTTGGAATCAAACCAGAAGCCCCCACATGGTTGCAAGGGCCTCATGGCCGGCCCTCAGTCCTCGGATCCCTTTTCTCCTCCCGTCCTCGCCCGCTCCCTCTGGCCACACTGGCCTCCCGCCCGCTGTTCTAACTCAGGACCTTAGCCTTTGCTGCTCCTGCTTGCCCAGAATGTTCGCCCACAGGTTCCATGAGTCTCAGGTGCTTACCTCCTGCAGGTTTCTCTCAGAGGTCACCGCCTCCCGGACATCTTCCCCAATCACCTTACAAATTATACCTGTGTCACTCTCTATCCCTTCCCTCTCTCATTTCCCTCATCAGCCTGATATATGATAGGCTTCTGGTACACTGTCTTTTCTACCACTAGGGTGCTCCACGAGGGCAGGAACCTTGTCTTCATCACTTCTGAGTCCCCAGGGCCGACGACCGTGCATGGCACTCAGTGAGCGCTCCATCATTATCTGCTGGCTGGCTGGCTGGCTGGCTATCTAGATGGATGAGTTTGTTGAGCACTTAATGTATAACTGGGCTCTGTGCTGGGACCTCAAGAGATGAACCAGACCCATCCCTGCCCTCAGGGAGCTCCCGGTCTGGTGGGGGAGACAGACACAGGCATATACAACAGCCAGTGGGCTTGAGGCTGTGGCACTGGAAAGCCGAGGGCTGATGGGACACAAAGGAGAGCGTGGCCAAGCACGCGGGGGAGACAGACAAGAGGGGCGCTTCCAGCACTACCCAGGCTGCATGCTCTGCAGCCGGAGAGCAGAGGGTGGGAGGGTTCCCAGGGTTCCCACACCTTGGAGGAGAACACCTACCCCGATGAGTCCTCCGAAGCAAACCTCCCCAGAGCTGAGCAGCCCCCGGGTGCTGCACGGTTTCTGCTGCAGCAGTTCTAAGAAGTCTTTGAAGTTGTAGGAGCCAGGCCCCAGGTTTTCCGTCTGCCCAAGAGAAGAGAGAAGGTGAATTGGGGATGTCCACACGGAAGGAGCCCGGGGGATGATGGTGTTCCTTAAAGGATGAGCTCTACCTGGGCCTGAGAGGCCACTCAGGCCAGCCATGGAGTGGGGAGGGGTGTGAAACAGGGACCTCACTTGCAGCTGCTTCTCTCTCATGATGGCCTGGTACTGGAAGTGGGGCCTCTGGGTCAGCTGGCTGGCTTCCTGGGACTTGGCCCAGCCTGTGCCCACCCTCCTTCTTCAGCTTCTTCTTGCTGAAGCAGGTCTCCGCGTAGTCATAGGTCCCAGGTCCTATGTGGGACTGAGTCAGAGCACAGTCAGAGCTAGACCAGCCACACATACCCAGTCTACCCACAGAGCAAGTCCTCACCACGCCGCCACCTGGCCTGGGGGCGACCTGCTCCTCTGTGGTCCCACCCCCAGCACTGAGCTGGGCACCAAGGGGTATGATGCTCAAGGTACCATCATGACTTCCTCTGTCATTGGCCCCCTCACACTTCATGGAGGGGTAGTAACTCGTTTAAGAGCCTACAGCCAATCAGTGCAAGAGTTGGGAATGGAACCCAAGTCTCCGGGGCCCCAACCCATGCTGTTTTTCACTACAGTCTTGCCTTGGCTGTGAGCCAAGCTCTGTGCTGAGGACTAAGAGCATGGAGAGGTGTAGGGCACATGTCTTACATGGCTCAGCTCATCTGCCATGGTGTGGGGCTCAGAGGGCAGTGACCAGACCACGTGAGAGAGTCGGCAAAGCTGGGCAAACTCACCATGTCTATGGAATAAAGCCTGGAGTATGGGACATCTGCGCAGGTGCTCAGCTTCTTCTGTTTGGGACAAACAGCAGAGACATCAAACCTGGGGAAGGACAGAGGCCCAGTGAGAGCCGCACTGCCTGGCAGCCAGCCCTGGTGTGGGCAGATCTGGGAGGCAGAGAAGGTGACTTTAGAGCTAGCCCAGTGATGGGTGAGCAGGGCTGTTCCCACCTCCAGGCCCTAGTCCTCCCAGGTTCCATCTCCCTGGATACCTCTCCTGCCTGGCCCCCTCCCCCACGCTGGGAGCCTTTACTCAAAAGTCACTTTCTCAGTGCAACCCCCACCCCATTCTCCAGCGCTTTCCAGCTCCTCCTCCCAGCTTTCGTTTTCTCCATAGCCCGCATCATTATCTAACATTTTATGTATTTTTCTTTTTTTGTTTATTACCCACTCCAACCACATCCTCCCCACAAAAATGCAAACTCTGAGTACAGGGTTTTGCTGTTTTGTTCACTGCTGTATCCCCACGTGCTACAACTGTGCCTGGCACGTAGTAGGTGACTATATATACTGGGGGTGCCAAAAAATATGTATACAAGTGGACACTTTGGTCAGCGGTGCTCAAGCAGTAGTTCGCCGTGATCAAAAGTGTCTGGACGCAGATGGTAACCGCTTTGAGCACCTCTTGTAATTGCAGAAGTCAAACGTGACTTGTATTCATCTTTTATTGTTGGTATATATTGAGTATTACAATTTTAATAGTTTTTCCTTTCTTAAAACGTGTATACACTTTTTTTGGCACCCTCTGTATAATAGGTTGTATATGCTATATACTTCAATATCATATGAATGAAGAAACACACCTAGACTGAAATTCTACCCACAGCTTTTGAGCTGAGTGACCTACTATGGGGCCACGCCACTTGGCCTCTCTGAGCCTGGTACCTTGTAGGTGCCTTTGAAATAAAATAACTTAAGAGGGCCGGCCGAGTGGCTCAGTTGGTTAAGAGCTCGCTCAAGAGTTTGAGCTCTGAGCAACAGCGGTTCGAGTCCAGCCCGAGCTGAGCAGCTGCTGAGCTGCCAACAGGTAGCAGGATGGCTCAGCTAAAAAAAATAAATTAATTAAAAAAAATAACTTAAGAAGGGTGGTACATGGACTCTGGGCAGGAAAGTGCAGCAGGTGTTGAGGGGGCGACACAGTCCAGTCTCTCATCCCTCTCTCATCCCTCACTGCCAGCCCCCTTCTATAGCTCCTCCCTTTCCCAGGCTGCAACCCTCTCATTGGTGGTCCTCTCTTCCCACCACCCCCAGCCCAGCCCCACCTGTTGCTCTGCACCCGAAGGGCGCCCCGCTGAACCATTTGGTGGCCATGGCGCTGGCCCGTCCCAGCTGCGAGGTCCCTGGAGGGCTGGGCCTTCACCCCTCCTCGCGGGACTCAGGCTGCGGGGGCGGGACTCCTCCTCACCGGCTTGCCTCGTCGCTGGTCCCATTGGCCTCCGCCGCTGCCACGGCAACCAGGCTTTGTGATTTGTGATTCGCCAGAGAATTGTGGCTGTGTCTGTGCTCCCGTGGCGCCCCCACCAGCTTGCCAGCACTGCCCCCTGACTTTTTCATTTCGCTCTATGCGTAACTTCATCGCTACCTTGCTAGAGATCCTTCCCTGAACTCTGCAGGTTTAATGGCCCCTCATGATGGGTAACATGGATGCCACTGGTCAGGTTTACAGTCACTTGCTGAGGAACTGTTTCTGATTTCTTGCTTTATCCCTGCACCTGCCACCAGCCAAGTAGAGTACAGCTCAGGAAATGCCTTCTAATGTTCCCCCTTGAGCACTTGGAAACAGAGGCCCACAGATGGCTCAACTTGCACAAAGAGGGCATCGGTTCCTTCTCCACGTTGGGGAGGGAAGGAGAGCCAGAGGGGAGGGCAGGAGTGAGTCTGCAGAGACGGAGGGAAGGGTTGCAGGGATGGAGTCAGGACTCATCCTGCAGACATCCCCACCCCCATACACACACGCACACACACTCACACACTGCAGAGGCTGTGCAGGGCACCTGGGACTCACATGTGGTCCCAGCCCTTAGAGTCTAGTGGGAGAAATAATGACCACACAGCGTGGCCAGGCCTATGAGAGAGGAATGCCTCTGACCCAGTCTGTGGGTGAGTAAGTCAGGGAAGGCTTCCTGGAGGAGGAGAATTCCAAAGTCATCATTGAAATGTGTGTATGACCTGCTAGGTAAAGAAAGGAGTTGAGGGTATGGACCCCCAATAGGTCAGCTCTCTTCCCTCCTCCTCCCCCTTTATCAGGTGCAGCAGAGAGACAACACCCCATTTGATGATGACAGAACTGAAATCAGAAACAGATCTTTCCCTGGGTCTGCCATCCAGCCTGTGGTAGAACTGGACTACTAGGACAGTGGGTCTCCTTTCAGGCCCCACCCAATGCTCTTCTGACATCCCAATATAGCATTTAAATAGGACCCTTGGACCCCTTGCACTTTTGTGATTCTCAGGTACCAGGTCAAGCAGGCACATGGCCATGGCTGACAGCTGTCCACCATGCACTGCTAAGCTGATGGTCAGAGGCATCAGGCGTCAGGAACACACACAGAACAGGCACCGTGGGTCATCCAAGCACAGACTCTGCCCCTTCCCTACTGTGCAACAAATTACTTCCTTTTCTGATTCTCAGCTTTCTTACCTGTAAAATAAAGCTGATAATTCCTGTCTCCCCAGATTGCTGTGAGAATTAAATGAGCTAATTTAGCTATGCTGCTGTCATGTAGCAGAAGCTCAATAAGAGGTCTTTCCCCACCCTTGGAAAGGAAGCTGCAGAAGGTCTAGGGCAGAGGCTGTGTCTCATTCACTCCTTGTGCAGTACCTGGCACATAGTAAATGCTCAGTGAATATTCACTGAATGACATAGGAACAAAAACATTGAATCTACAATAGTCCAGCTTCCCAGGAGTGCATAAAATCTTCAGAGATTCATGTTTGAATCCTTGCCCTGCTGCTTCCTAGATGGTGGCCTTGGGCAAGTTACCCTGGCCAGACTCAATTTCCTCATCTGTTTACATGGACCTATGACTGCAGCCTCCTGGAGGAGCTGTGTTTGCGGTGTCAGTGAGTTGTGGCTGTGTACACGACCAAGTCCTGGGCCTGGGGAGGCCCTGGGGCTTCTCAGGTGCCCAGGGTGGCCCAGACCTGCCTGGGGCTACTTTGATGCTTCTGTTTCAGCCTGAGGCCTTGGCTGCAGGACTCATGGAGGTGTGACCACAGGATATAGGTTCAAGGTCCACTGGGCTGAGAATCCTGGTTGCCAGGTAGACCAGAGCAGGCCAGGGTGAGTCAGGTCTTCAGCAAGGCAACCTGCCCTAGTTAGCCCAAAGCCTCTCTATCACAGCAACTCACTAATCACAGCAACTAACTCTTTCTCTCTTGCAGGTACTGCTGCAACTCCCTCCCACCCCCATTATACAGAAGAGGAAACTAAGGCTCAGACGGGTAGAGTAACCTGCCCTGGTCACATCTAGAGAGGTGTAGGATCAAATAGAAGATATGGAACTCATAACTAGGTTTGGGAGCTCCCTGGCTACAAGAGTTTCTAACCCATCTAGATTCTGGAGTCATCTGTTACATCAATGGAGTCAAGTCAAGCTTCTCAGCCAGGATTCTGGCCTCTTTGATGGGGCTGTAGCTCCTGACTTCAGTCCTCATCCCCTGCTTCAGCCGTATGGGGCTGCTCTATCCATAGGCGCACCCTGCACTGCAAACCTCTGACATTTTCATAAGGCTTTCCTACTGCTGAAATGCACTTGCAACCTACCCTCCCATCCAACTCCTACTCATCTTCTCAGAGTCAGATCAAAAGCTGAACCCACCCATTAGGATGGCAATTATAAAAAACAAACGAAACCAGAAAAAATAAAAAGTGTTGGCAAGGATGTAGAGAAATTGGAACATTTGTGCACTGTTGGTGGGAATGTAAAATGGTACAGCTTCTATGGAAAACAGTATAGCAGTTCTTCAAAAAAAAAAAATTACACACAGAATTACCATATGACCCAGCTATTTCACTTCTGGGTACATACCCAAAAGAATTGAAAGCAGGGTCTCAAATGGATGTTTGCACAGCCATGTTCATAAGCAGCAGCATTCCCAATAGGCAAGAGGTGGAAGCCATTCACGTGTCAATCAGTGAATGAATGGATAAACAAAATGTGGAATATACATACAATGAAATATTACTCAGCCTTAAAAAGGAAGGAAAGGGGCCGGCCAAGTGGCTCAGTTGGTTAAGAGTTGGCTTAAGAAGGCAAGCTCTGAGCAACAGGGCCACCGGTTCAATTCCCACGTGGGCCAGTGACGCTGCACCGAAGCTGAGCTGTCGCTGAGCTGCCAACAGGTGGCAGGATGGCTCAGCTGGTGTAACAACAAGATTGCCTGTTTGATAGTGGGCTACGCCCACCCATAACTAAGACTGAACTCAGCTCCTTGAGCTGAGCTGCCGCCTGGATGACTCAGTGAATAGAGCATGCGCTCTTAACAACAAGGCTTCTTGGTTCAACTCCCGCATGGGATGGTGGCTACGCCCACCTGCAACTAAGATTGAACACAGCACCTTGAGCTTAGAGGCCACAAGCTGCCAACGGGCAACCAGATGGCAATTGGCGCCCTCCACAACAAAGATTAAAGAACAACAACTTGGCTGGTTCCCTTCCCCAATTCCGCAACACTGTTCCCCTTCCCCAATAAAATCTTTTTAAAAAAAAGGAAAGAAGGAAATTCTGACACATGCTATATAACATGGATGAACATTGACAATATTATGCTAAGTGAAGTAAGCCAAACACAAAAGTATACACATTATATTATTCCACTCATATGAGTATGAGGTACCTAAAGTAGTCAAGTTAACAGAGACAGAAGTAGAATGGTGGTTACCAGGCACTGGGGAAGGGGATAGGGCATGAGTTATTACTTAGTGGGTACAGAGTTCCAGTTTGGGAAGATGAAAAAGTTCTGGAGATGGATAGTGGTAATGGTTGCACAACAATGTGAATATAAATGCTACTGAACTGCACTCTTAAAGACGGTTAAAATGGTAAATTTTATGTTAAGTATATGTTATCACAATAAAAATAAAAAAAACCAAACATCTGGGAATTTATTCCTGATCCTCCCAAACAGATCAGAGCCCACATTTCATCTCACGATCACCAGCAATTTATAGTAACTTTTTTTATTAAAAATTATTCAATTTTATATTTTAAAATTACAGGTGACAAATAGCACCAGAATGCTGTTTTAACTGACCTTTTTATTGTTCGAGTCAAATATTTTTAACAAGTATACTAATTGGCTCTATTTCCTCTTTTGAAAATGCTGGCCTACTTTTCAAAAAGATGAAGCAACAGGGTCTCAGGAGCCCTGGTGGAATGAGGGGCAGGAGGGACTCAGAAGTTCAGACTTGTTAGCAAGGGGAGCTGACAGTTATCCAGAGTGACACATACCACATTTACCCATGACATCTACCCTGGGGAAACGGATGTTACTTTCATGTCACAGATGAGGAAAGTCTGAAGTGTGAAATTATGAAGATCACACATTATTAGTGATGGAAAACGTGCATAAGGACAGCACAGGGAGCCCTTCAGTCTTTCCACCAGGGCCAACTGCAGGTCAGAGAGGAGGAAGAGAAAATCTAAGTGGGAAGCTTGATCAATAATGGCCAAAGGAAGAGCAGGAGAGAGGTGGCAGACTCTGTTCAGAGGAAGAACACTTGAGGGACTGCGGTGAGGATGGCACAGGAATGAGGGTGGCTTCCGCAGGCAGCTGGAAGGACCAGTCCTGACTCTTCTAGTCAGCAGCTCAAGCCTGGAGGGTGGAACAGTGCCCACAGAGGAAGAGTCTGGCTGGCTTCCAGGCCTGCTTGGGCACATCTCAGTTCTGCGATCTCAGCAAGTCTTTTTTCTCCTGAGCCTCAGTTTCCTCAGCAGTGAGAGTAAAAACACGTCTTTTGCCATGCACCGGGGTTTGCGTGCCCGGCATCCAGCAATGCACCTGTTTGTCTCACACACCTGGTTGTGCGATGCAGGCGTCTAAGAGCCGCTGAGCAGCGAAAGCGGAAACACGCACAGGGCGCACCCCAAGCGGACGCTCGGACCCACCCACCGGCGGGAGGCGCCAGGACCTAGAGATCGCGGTGCCCTGGGCCTCCGCGCGCTGACCTCAGCCTCCGGCGCCGGGTTCGCTCGGGGGTCGCCCCACCCACAGCCCTCCGCAGCCTCCAAGGCAAGGGCAAGGCCCAGGGAGCAGAGGGGCAGACATGGCGGAGCCCGAGGCCGAGGCGGAGGACCTGGATGCCCTCATCGACGACCTGGACTACCTCCCCGGCCACTTCCACCTAGAGATGCAGCTGAACTTCGAGCTGCGCTCTCCGGCCTCGCTCCGCGCCCGAGACCTGAAGCTGCAGCTGGACGGCCTGCGGCAGGAGCTCAAGCTGGCGGCCGGCCGGCAGCGCCTCGCCGTGCGCCACCTCCTGGGCACCTTCGCCTTCTACCTGGAGAACCTAGACGAGGCCCGGGAGCGCTTCCTCGAGGTGGCAAGTGAGGACCCCGGCAACCTCAACGCCTGGGCCAATCTGGCGCATGTATACGGGCGTCTGGGGCAGGAGGGCGAGGAGGAGGCGTGCGCGGGGAGGCTGGCCGGCCTCATGGGCCTGGCGGCTGACCCTGAGGTCTCAGGGGACCCCCAGCTCCTCGCCGCGCGCTGCCTGGCGGAACAGGGCTATGCACACGGCTTCGACGTGGGCTGTGTCAGCCCGGAGGAACGCGCGCGGGTTCTGGCGGCAGGCATCGCGCTCTACGACAAGGCGCTGAGCTACGGGCAGCAGGTGGGTGACCGCTCCCTGGGCTGGGGTCCTGGCCCCTAACGTCTGCAGAGATGACCCCGCAATCCCAGACTGCCAAACCCTGGCCCTTTGGCTCCCAGAAGAGCTTTTCAATGTGCCTCTCCTCCCTAGTAACCCCCACCTTGGTGCCCAGACCAAGTCTGTAGCTTGACTCTGCTGGGCTAGGTAGGGGTGGATCCGCTTCCCAGCGGGGCAGCCTAATAAGGTTTCTCTTCTGGCAACGCCACAAACTCAACCTGGCCAACTCATCCCTTTCATCTTGCTCCTCTCCGCAGCTACCTGTCCATGTGCCTGTGCACACCTGCCTAAGTAAAAAGGCACAGCTCGACATCCCACCAGAAACTCCAGCATTCTTACTTGCCCTCTCCCCATCCCCTTCCATCCCCATCCATTCAGACCTCAACTCCCGTCCATTTCGCCACCTCATATCTCTGAGGTTTATCGCCTCCTCTCCAGCTTCCTTCTGCCAGCCCAGCCTCTGTCATTCCCTGCCTGGGCCAGTGTCGTCGCCATCATCCTGCCTGGGTTCCTACCCTCTGGCTTGACCCTTCTGCCTTGTCCTCCACCCTGCTGCCAGTGCCATGTTGCTCAGTCTTGCTGGCCATGTCCCTCAGCTGCTTATAGCCCCCAGTGACTCCCCACTGCCTGGCAGATAAGTCCAAGGCTCTGGGGTGGGCATGTGAGGCCCTCTGTGATCTCTGCCCTCCCTCTGCCATGCTCCCCCTTCCAGCCAGGCTTTTCCTTTTGTCTACTTCTCTTTGTCCCCTCTGGGCCGGGTCTCCTTACAACCCACCTTGCCATTTTCTCAGCTTCTTTCTGAGGTGCCCTTCTGCCCACCTTTGCCTGGAAGGTTCTCCTCAGTCTCGGACATCTCCTCCACCGACTTCTCCAGGCCAGGTCAGGAGCCTTCCCAGGGCCCCCATAGCACTGCTCACACTATCTTTTTACAAATCTGTCTCCCCAACTCAACCTTGAAGTCTTTGAGAGTGGGGACAACATCTGTCTGGCTTTCCACTTGTAAACCCAGTACCTGGCACAGTGCCTGCTACACTCAGTAAATGTATCTTGATTGAATGTATGTGCAGCATAGGGTCTGGCACTAAATAGACAGACACTAGGCATATTAGTTGCCTATTGCTGCATAACAAATACCCTCCAAAACTTAGCAGCTTAAAGCAATAAGCATTTATTATCTCAGGGTTTTTGTGTGTCAAGAATCTAGGTGTGGCTTAGCTGCCTCCAAGCTTCCTCACAGGGCTGATGGCAGGACTCAGTTCCTCACTGGCTGTGGCCAGAGAACTCCCCAGGTCCTTGCCACATGGACAGCCCATCATTTTTGCTACATTCCGTTCAGTAGGAGTGAGTCAGTAGGTCTAGCCCACACTCAAAGCGGGGAGATTGCACAGGGCATGAATACCAGGAGGAGGGGATCCCTGGGGCCATCTCAAAGGCCACCTGCACTGCGTGACAGATGAATGATGGAGAGGGCATTGCCCTCCAGTTACAGAGGAGGAAACCTTAGTTCAGAGCGGTACCATGGCTTTCCTGTGAAGGCACAGCGCAGGCAAGGTTGAGCTGATAATGATGACGTTCTATAATGGTTTGATTTGTGATATTTAAATAACAACACGCCTTCACACAGGGCTCCATTCACAAAGGCTCTGCACACCCCTTTGGAGCTTTTTCCACCGAAGCTTATGGCTTCAGGGAGGAAAAGTGGAGTCCAGACTTCAGCAGGTGCAGGGTGGAGGGCACAGACTGGGCTTCAGGGCAGCAGTACAGTGTGGAAGTTAAGACAGTAGACTCTGGGTCAGATGGTCCAGGTCCGAATCCCAACTCTGCCGTGCTCTCTCACCTCCAGTTGGCCCTTAGAACGCTGAGCTTCCGTTTCCCTCTCTGTAAGGTGGGTTTACAGATGGTACTTATGTCCTCGGCTTCCTCATCTGTAAAATAGGGACATTCTCCTCTGGTTGATGTCATAACGAAGAGCTGATATTTGGAAAACATTTGGAATAGAGCCTGCATTAAGACAGCAGGATCAACAAATGACCCGTGCCTCTCCCAGCCTAGGAGAATCACCTCTGCCCCACGCTGGATGTAGCTGTGGCCATCGTTTGGGGCCAGCAGGGAGGGACCCAGGTCTCCTGTTTGAAAGCCTGAGCCTGAGGCCCTGAGTGCCAGCTGCCCTCAGTGGAAGGCACGGCAGGCATCGTATATATGAAGTGTGGTCATGGTAGTAGAGTGGGACCTAAAGAGCCCTGGGCAGGGAGCTAGGAGGCCCACGGTGAGGCCTTCTCCTGTCTGGGCTGTGGTTTCCCCACCTGTGTGAAAGGTGGACAGGGAGCAGGGCTGGGTGGTCCCCAAGGTTCACTGATGGAGAGCTTCCTGGAGGAGGCGAGCAAGGAGGCAGAGGTTCCGGCATAGAGATGGAATGGAGGCCAGCTCCTCCCTCCCTAGTGGAGGCCACCTGCTCGGTGAGTGACCTCCCAGGGGGGAGAGCGTCAAGTAGGGCACTGCCCAGTGCTCCAGGGAGGGAGACCATTGCATTAGGTGGGAGGTGCCCACCAGGTTCTGTGCTGTGTCCTTGGGGCTGGCCCAGCTGCTGCTCCCCAGGTCTGGACAAAGCAGCTATGGTCAGCCACCCCCAACAAATCCCAGGAGATTTGGAGTCCCCTCATTTTATCACCTGAGAATTAGAAGAGATCGTGCTTATAAAGTAGCTGGCACAGAGTAGGTGCTCAAGAAATAGCTGTAGTCAGGATAATGATGATGATTTCGTTATAGTTAGAGCCAGGAGGCTTGATTTGGAGCCCCCAGCTCTCTTACTATTTTTCTGTGTGAATATGGACAAGTCACTTTTGGTCGCTAGCCTCAGTGTCTGTCTCATGAACATTAAACAGTAGTGATCTCTGCCTCAGCTTATAGTGATTATCTAATTGAATCATAGGGTGAAAGTGTGCATAAACGGGTCAATTCTGGGCATGTCTGAGAAGCATATACGCAGCATCTTAACATTTATTGAGTAGCTACTGTGTGTAAGGCCCTGTCTTAAGAAGTTCATGGACAAAAGGAGGAGTAAACATTTGTTCCTTCATTAGCTAGTTTTGTCTGAGCCTTTTCCCTGGGAGCAGGAGTCAAAGGGACAAGTCAGAGATGTGCCAACAGCTGGCTGAGGTCACAGGCATTTGTTACATGGCCTGTGCCATGCCATGTGACAATCATCTCTGAGTGCTGTACACCAGAGACCATATTTTCTGAACCAAAAACAGGCCCCCAGAGGCTGACAAGGGATGTGTACTCTGGGGACATCAGGACCAATGTTGGAGTCAGCAGTGACCTGGAAAGTCCAGGCCCTGGGGGTCAAGGGGCAATGACTGAGTTTCAGAGAAGGAACACTTCCGTTCAGCCCAAGGGACTGAGGGAGGCTTCTGGAAGCGGCAGGAGTAGACTGGCAGGAAGAAGGTAAGGGCACTCCCAGCAGAAGGCCTCTCCACCAGGAGAGGGCTTTGGTGACAGCTGCGCTGTATGTAGCAGGGAGTGGCGCCTGGAAAGCTGGCAGCCAGAAGCTTCACGCGGAAGAGCACACGGTGGCCCTGCAGAGCTGCTGTGTGGCCTCTGAAATCTGGTGCCTGCCCTCCTCTTCACCCACGTTCCTCTTATTCCCCTTGACCCTCACTCTCCAGGAATCCTAAACTCCGTGTCCTTCTCCAGATACACTGTGCTGTTTCACAGCTCCCTAGGCAGCTCCTGTTCTCTGTGCCTAGAAAGCGGACTCCATCCATCAAAAACCCAGCTCATGTCACCTCCCCCTCACAGGCTTCATACAACACACAACTTCACACAGTGATATCCATGAACATTTTCTGTTGGTGCCTTCCAGGCTTTATCGTAGTCCTCACAAGAACCCGCCGATCCCCTTTCACAGATGTGGGAACTGAGGCATCGCCGGGCTAAGTAAGTTGCCCAAGGGCACAGAGCTAGTATATGGCAGCTGAGTCCACTCCGCTCTGTCTGACTTAAAAGCCTTTGCTGTTTCTGGAGAGGTCAAGAAGTGGGGGTGCGATTAAGTGGGGTGCAGATGGCTGGTGGGGTGGTGAGGCTCTCCTCACCTCATGGACTGCCTCCTGGAAATCTAGGGTGGAGGAAGTGTTGAGAAAGAGAAGGTGATATCTATATATCACCAGGATGAGGGCCAGGAAAGGGGGAGGTGGGACAGCGGAGCAGCAGGGTGGGACCCCCAACTGAGAGGGTTGCCATCCAGAGGAGCACAGCCGGGGGTGGGCAGCCTGTGGTCTGACTCACTCTGTGCTCCAGCACCAAGAGATTTTCCATCCTAATGGGGCTGAAACTGTCCCAGGCAGGAAGGGGCCTCTGGAGCCCAAAGGATAAAGAGCAGCTAAAGAATCAATGAACAACTGCATCTGCTGACTAAAATTACAAGAGAAAACATTATAAAAGTTAATAATTTGGCCCATAATCCAAAAATAAGCAGAGCGTTTGTGTGAGTGAATGTTTGTGACTTCCTTTCTCAGCTCTTCATCCCCTCCCGTTCCTCTTTCTCAAGTTACAAAAATATGATGAGGCAGATTGCTTTCATCTACACACACACACACACACACACAGAGTCACAGATGGATTCTTAGTGGCAAATCTCAAGGTTGAATGGGTATTAAGAGCATACACTTTGGAATTAGACCAGGTTAAAATTCTGCCTCCATTACCAGGTGACATCCGGCAAGTCATTTCACTTCCCTGAGCCTCATTTTCCTCATCTGCAAAATGGGGTGCTAAGAGCTGTCTCCCAGGGCTTGCTGTGAGGATTAAGTGAGAGAACATGAAATGTTCCGGGCAGGCAGCAGATCACGTTAGCAGCCCATCCCTTCTCCCTGCCCGCCCTCTGGCCCCACAGGGCTTTGCTCTTGCTTTTCAACAGAGCCATTCCCAGCCTCTGGCTTATCTGCAAGGGATTTGCCCCCTCGAGG